TCCCTCGCAGTGCGCACGCGCCATCNTCACCCACCACCGTTTTTCACTTGGCCCCCCGGCTGCAGTCACACTGGACAGACCTGCTGGCATTGCTCCAGTCCGTCTAGAAAAGCCACAGGGGAAAAAAAAAAAAAAAAAAAAAGGCTCCATATAGGAAACGGAATCAGGTCATGGGTAAAGTGCTCAGAGTTTGCCCTCTTCTGCCTTTGCTGGCCACTCCTTCACGTTCTCTCCTGAAAACTTCTCACCCTTCTGCCCTCTAAATATTGCAGTGTCTCGGGCTCAGTGTGGTAAATGATCTCCAAAGACGGTCCTTCCCAATCCTTTCCCTCGCAGTGCGCACGCGCCATCATACCCATAAAGAGGGGGAGTCTACAGCCCCTCCCCTTGCCTCCGTGCTGGCTGCTCCAGTTGCTGTGGTTCCTGACCTCGCGCCTCTGCGACCGAGTGGCACCCCCACCCCCCACCCCACCCCGTGCTGCGGGAAGGCCGGCGGCCAAGCTGCCAGCAGGCTCCAGCCAGACTCCTGAATGCGGAACAAGCACGTGGAGAGACAGAGGCTACCTGCGGTGGCCAAGGCACCAGACCTGTGAGCCAGGGCTTCCCGGGCCTTCTCACCCGGCACTGTGGCAGGGGGACCCAGCGGATGCCACACGGAGCACACTGTAGCGGCCACGGGCGACCCAGAGGATTGGGAGAAATAATAACTTGATGTCTTAAGCCACTGAGCTTTTATGGTGGTATGTCATTCGGCCACAAGTAACTAAACGACTCGGTTGTAGGATTTCTGCTTTCCCCCCCTCCTGGCGGTGATGACACGCCCACAAGAACATGCTCCTTGCAAGGGACCTCCTCCACCCTTCCCCGGAAGAGGAGAGGGCGAGCAAGAAATCGTCCCTGGTGCAGAGCCCCAGCTCCCACTTCATGGACTTGCGGTGCCCAGGATGCCACAAGATCGCCACCATCGTGACCGTGCACAAACGGTGGTGGTGTGTGGACCGCCCCACTGCCCTCTGCCAGCCCACAGGAGGGGTGCCCCCCCCCCAACGGAGGCAGCACCACAAACCCCCTGAATCAAGACAAGTGGGAAATTTTCCCAATAAACACATTTTTTTGGTTTAAAAACAAAACAAAACCCAAAAAACTTCAGTCCTTGGACTTCTTTTCTCATCTACCCATAATCCCTGCCTAGGTGATCCCAGCCAGTCTCAGTGCTGGGGTGGCTCAGTCAGTTAAGTGTCTGACTCTTGGTTTCAGCTCGGGTCATGATCTCCCTGTTCCGGAGTTCGAGCCCCGCATTAGGCTCTGTGCTGACAGTGTGGAGCCTGCTGAGGATTCTCTCTCCCTCTCTCTCTCTCACTCAAAAATAAATAAGTAAACATGAAACACACACACACACACACACACACACACACACACACACACACACAGTCTCAGTGCTGGCAACTCCAGCTCCAAACTGTCCCCAAACTTTCAGACTCACATATCCAACTTCCTTCTGAATGTTTCCACCTAGATGACTAATAAGGATCTAAAAAAGGCTCTTGATCATCCCTTCAGGGAGTGAAGTCTTTGCCAGCTCAGCAAATGGCAAATCTGTCCATCTAGTTCCATAGGGCAAAAAGCTGGGAACCACCCTGGAGTCTCCTTACTTTCACACCTGCACCCAATCCATCAGTAAATCCTGCTGGTTCTACTTCCAAAATCAGACCACCTCTCACCACCACCTCCTTCACCACCAGCCTGGTCTAATCCACAATTATTCTTCACCTGATTTTTAAAAATTTATTTTCATTTTCTTTAAGTGAGCTCCGTGCCCAATGTGAGGCTCGAACTCATCACCCTGAAACTGAGTCACGTTCTCTGCCAGTGAGTCGGCCAGGCACCCTGATCCCTCCCTTGATTATTGCAATAGCTTCCTAACTGCGTTCTCTCCTTGCACTCTTGACCCTTCCCTGCCCCAGCCTGAGCCCAACAGTAGCCAGAGTGCTCCTTTAAAAGTTTAAGTTGGGGTGCCTGGGTGGCTCACTCGGTAGAGCATGTGACTCTGGATCTTGGAATTGAGGGTTTGAGTCCCATGTTGCCCCTCCCTCACTCTCTTTCTCAAAATAACTAAACTTAAAAAATTTTTTAATAAAATTAAATTTTAAAGAAGAAACTGGGGGCACCTGAGTGGCTCGGTCAGTTAAGCTTCCAACTATGGCTCAGGTCAAGATCTCGCAGTTTGTGAGTTCGAGCCCCACACTGGGCTCTGTGCTGTCAGCACAGGCTCTCTGTCTCCCTCTCTCTCTGCCCCTCTCCTGCTTGTGTCTTTTTTTTCTCTCTCTCTCAAAAATAAATATTTAAAAATAAATAAATAAAATGAAATGAAAATGAAGAAACTGTCCCCACTAAATGTTCATCCATTGCAAGACTTAGAGTTGCAAAATGTAAAGCGTCTAAATCAAATTACATCACTTCTCTGCCCAAAACCTTCCTGTGGCTTCTCATCTCAGAGTAGAATCCAAAAAGCCTCATTTTTTTTTTTTTTTGTAAATCATATATCCAATATGGACTTCTATCTGGAAGAAAGAATTATAAAAAACTCAATAAAAAACCCAATAAGATAATTAAAATATGGGGAAAGGAGATAGACATTTCTACAAAGATGATGTGCATGTGGCCAATAAGCCCATGAAAAGACACTCAACATCATTAGCCACCAAGGAAATGCAAATCCATATCACGATCAGATACTACCACAGGACCCCCCAAGGTGGCCACAATAGAAAATTCAGATCACAGCAGGCGTTGGGGAGGGCGCGAAGCCACTGGAACCCTCATACATTGCTGGTGGGGACACATGTTGGAGCAGCGGCTTTGGAGACCGGCGTGGCAGTCCCTCCAGATATTAAATACGGAGTTATCGTATGACCCGGCAGTATACACCCAGCTTGTATTCCGAGGTTTATGAGCTGCATTCATCACACTTGCCAAAACGTGAACACAACTCAAATGTCCATCAACTAAGTGAACAGATGAAATAAATACCCATACAGTGGGCCAGAACTTGGAAATAAAAAGAAATGCTGTGCTAATTCATGCTACAACATGAGTGGACCTGAAAACTATACGCTAAATGGTGTCTGGGTAGCCCAGTCAGTTAAGCCTCTGACTCATGACTCTGGCTTAGGTTCATGATCTCACAGTTTGTGGGTCTGAGCCCTGAGTTGGGCCCAGCACTGAAGGTGTGGAGACTGCTTGGGATTCTCTCTTCATCTCTCTCTGCCCCCTTGCCCGCGCTCTCTCTCTCTCTCTCTCTCAAAATAAATAACCTTAAAGAAAAACATATGCTAAATGAAAGAGGTCTGTTACAAAAGACCACTATTCCATATATATATGAAATATCCGGAACAGGCAAATCTACAGAGACAGAAAGTAGATCAGTGGTAGTTGAGTGGGTAGAGGATTAGGGCCAATGAGTGTGCGATTTCTTTTGGGGGGGGAGGGTGATGAAAATGTTCTAAAATTGATTGTGGTGATGGTTGCACAACTCTTTGAATATATGAAAAGCCATCAATTATATGCCTTCAAATGGGCGAACTGCATAGTATGTGAATTTATCTCTTTTTTAAAAATGTTTATTTATTTTTGAAAGAGAGAGAGAGGGAGTGTAGTAGCAGGAAAGGGGCAGAGAGAGAGGAGGGAACAGAAGATCCCAAGCAGGCTACATGCTGACACAGTGCAGAGCCCGACATGGGGCTCGAATTCAGGAACCATGAGATCATGACCTGAGCTGAAGTTGGACACTTAACAGACTGAGCCACCCAGGCGCCCAGTGAATTTATATCTTGATACAGCTGTTTCAAAAAAACAGCACAAAAACAATCTCAAGTCTTACCAGGCCCTACAAGGTCCTTACCTGCATGGGTTCATCTCTTTCCATCCTTCTCTCTGCTCCCTCTGCACAGTCCACTTTGGTTTCCTTGATGCCCTACAAATCCACCACGCTCCCAGCTCAGGTCAGGCCTGTGGCTTATGGTTGAGTAGGCTGTGCACTAAACAAAAATTCCCTGGCTTAAGGTGCAAGGGAAAACTGCAATCTAGGCTTCTGCTTGTCTAGACTGGGGCCCCACAGCTGCACCCTCTCACAGGCACCATTTCTTTTTTTTTTTTTTTAAATGTTTTATTTATTTCTAGGAGAGAGAGAGAGAGAGCGTGAGCAGGGGAGGGTCAGAGAGAGAGGGAGTCACAGACTGAAACAGGCTCCAGGCTCTGAGCTGGCAGTCAGCACAGAGCCCGACGCGGGGCTCGAACCCACGAACCGCGAGATCATGACCTAAGCGAAAGTCAGACGCTTAACCGACTAAGCCACCCAGGCGCCCCTCACAGGCACCATTTCTAACTGGCATGCAGGTGTGTGTGCCAGCCATGACCATGACCATGTTCAGGGCTTCTGCACATAGCATTCCCTCTACCTCTTCTACTCTTCCCCCACAGAGGCACATGACTTGCTCAAATGTCGTCTGAGGGGCCTTCCCTGATCACTGTGTGATGTCAACTCTACTCCCATAACCCTCTCTAACTCCTCACCCTCTTTATTTTACTTCATAGCACCTCCTACCACCTCATAGATCATATGTTGATGTACGTTTTGGTTGCCACCTATCCCCTTTCACTAGAATGAAAGCCCCGTGAGACCTGGAGCTTCGTTTAGTTCGCTCCTGTATCCCCGGTGCCCGCAACCATGCCTAGTATATAGTAGGTGCTCACTAAATAAATTCTCGAGTCCATGAATAAATGAAGTAAACTCAAGTGATCATCCAAGGCTTAATCTGATTCGAGGTGAAGAGAAGGTGTGTTTTTTGTGGACTCTGCGGCTCGCCTCACCAACGGAGAGTAGCAGAATGCAGTGCTGAGAGATTAGTCATAATGCACGGCACCATTGATTCAAACGCAGCCTCAGAGGGGTGACAGCCAGCCCTCGGGGAGCCGGAGCGCTCACCAGTCTGGCTTCTTACCTCTTCTTTAGTGTAGTACTTCAGGAGGCCTTCCCTTGCCAGGAGAACAAACTTCCTTCTCAGGAACTGTGCATTGTCTCTTCCCCGCTTCCACAGGAACCCTTCTCGATCGCCTTGGCCGCCAAAGACGAGAAAGAGTGAACACCCACATCCTCAACATTCTACCTCCTTGAGGGGACAATGAACGCTCCGCCCAGTGCAAAAAACATCTCAAATCTAGCTTAGCTATCTCAGCTGCAGCAGGCAGGGTTCCATCTGGGACCAAATTTGCAATGTCTTATGATTTCGGTTGGGCTCTGCCTAACTTCCTTCTTTGGCTGTTTCATAAGAAGACAGAGAGAGTGAGCCCTTAAGGAGGCTGAGTCCTGAGAATCTGGATGATTCTAAAATACGCCCATGTGGTCCTGCCCGACTTCACACGGATGTCGGCCTAATGCAACTGTCCAGAGGGCGGAAATAACGAGCGAGCTCTAGGCACCTGCTGGTTGAAGAATACCGCGTGCTCCTGGTGGCCAGGAGCACCGAGCACCGGCTGCTGCTGGCCCTCGCCGTGGTTTTGTGCACTTTGTACTCTGGGTCAGTGTCGGCTTGGACTCAGAGCGGCTGGGCAGAAACCACCACGGCTGGAGGGCCGGCGATGAGGTTGTGCCCCACACAAAGGTGAAAAGGGAGGCTGAAATCCCTCCCGTGCGCCTTCGCAAGCCTTGTGCCACGACAGGGGCTGCCCTCACCACGAGCAGGGGTGCCTTCTTCTAGTTATTCTGCCCAGCGGGTGAGTCTTCCTGTACTTTTGTACTAAGACTCTATACACATTTGTGGCCCTGCAGGGACCTGAGATAAAAATGCTTCAAAACCACTCAGGCCATAAAACCCCAGCAGCTGACATGTTGCTGTTTCAGAGGCAGAGGAACCCACACCATGGCCTCTGTGGCCAGAGTGAGGCCGGCAGATATCTCCTGATTGGGTCCTAATATTCAGACACTTTATTGTCTAGGACTCATTAGAACGCAGACCACAAAAGAACTTACCTGGGGGTGAGATGGTTTTCCCATCAGCCATAAATTCCTGTCTTTCATACTTTGCTCGAATCCACTGTTCCTTTAAGACCCTAGAAAGAGAGAACCTTAGGTCAACTGTGTCTGAGGCATCCTCTTCCCACAGGGCAGGAGCACCACAGCAACTGCCGGCTCAGACCACCCCAGGCTTCTCAGCCTTGGTACCGTTACATTTGGGGCTAATTCTTTGTTGTGGGGGAGGGGGAGCATCCTGTGTTGCGTAGCACATTTAGCAGCGTTTCTGGCCTCTATCCCCTAGTGGCCAATAGCCCCCCACCCCTAGATAGGACACCCAAAAATGTCTTGGGATACTGCCAGTGTCTCCTGAGGGAAAAGATTTCCCCCAAGGAGCTATATGAAAACCACTGGGCTGGGACTCCTGGGTAGCTCAGTTGGTTAAGTGTCTGACTTCAGCTCATGTCATGATCTCATGGTTGTGGGTTCGAGCTCCACACTGGGCTCTGTGCTGACAGCTCAGAGCCTGGAGCCTGCTTAGGATTCTGTGTCTCCCTCTCTCTCTCTGCCCCTCCTCTGCTTGCTCTCTGTCTCTCTCTAAAATAAATAATTAAAAAAAACAAAACAAAACAAAACAAAACACTGGGCTATTCCAACCCCAGGCCAGCCCTCTATGTCAACCGGCTCCCCTGGACCATTTACACTGCCACCTCCCTCTACATGTTCATAAGCTGAAGTCAAAGTCCGTGAACCTCTTCCTCTGGCTTGCCCATCAAATCTGGGCATGCCACACCGGACAGAGCAGTGACTAGGGATCCAACCGCGTGGGACCTGGTCTTCCTCTACTATTTATCCACTGTGTGACCAACAGCAAGTTACTTAACTCCTCTGAACCTGGGGAATATGTCAATTATATTATACCTACCTACCCCTCAGGGTTGAGGAGGGGTTTAAATATATGTAAAAGAGCCTAGTACTATGATCAGCACATAGTAGGACTTTCATGTTAGCCTCATCTGATACTGTCCTCCATGAATCCTGCAGAAAACTTAGTTCATCTGTTTGGTGCCCTCTTGCTTTTTCCAGGGAAATGTTCCAATGTTTACCCCCAAGCTCTAGGGAATTACCTAGAGCTGGGCACTTGGCCTGAACTGGCCAATCAGACCACTGCCCTGGGCTGTGCAGAGCAAAACCAAGAGAAGGGTGGATTGGAAGCCCTCTCCGGGTGAGGCTGAGAACTGGAGCCGGGGATCTGGAGCTGGGGACCGGAAAGAGGCCTCGCCCCCAGCTCTGTGAAAGAAGTCTGACTGAGAGAAAGGTGCAGGAATGAGAGCCAGACAGAGTAGGAGAGGCCTGACCGCGTTTGAGCCCCTGGCTTGTCCTTCCTGAGGGTGGCTCCACGCCTGTCCCTCCTATGGTCTGATTCCCAGAACCCATAAAATCCCCTCATGCCTAAATTGGTCTGAACTGGGTTTCCGTCACTTACAACCAAGAGTCCTACCTAAAGCACAGCCCTCACACCCAGAACATTGTGGAGAGTCACCAAGCCCACCACGGAATCCTGAGCTACGGGATCAGAGCCGGGAGAGGGAATGCAGATTGCGGCCCCAGGCCTGGTCCCAGAGGTGGGGAACTTAGAGGACTTTTAGAATTACAGGGAAGAGGCCATGAGTGTCCTGCTAAGAGGGGATAAGGTAAAGGGCTGTGGCTGAAGTCACAGCAAGCAGTGTCTGTAGTGCGGGCAGGAAGCTTAGCATAGAGTAGGTGTTCATCAAGTGCCTCTTCCTTTCCCTTTGCAGCAAAGGGCTGGGGGGCAGCAGTGAGGCGAGGCGAGCCAGACCCTCTCAAGCATGGCACATCCCCCAGCTGGGCATTCTGAAGAAATAGATTAAAACTAGCCTGTTGGGTGGCCTGTGAGACATTTTACACAAAATATCTCATTTAATCTCTACCACCATGCCATGATATGGGCTTCGTTATCTACATTTCAGAGATGAGGATGCCATGATTCAGAGAAGTTGGGTAACTTGTCCACCTTCTCACAGCTACAGAGTGATGGAGTCAGGAAACAATACTGGGGTCCTGGAATACAAAACTGTGCCTCCCTTGCTACTCCATGCTGTAGGGGCAGCCCCTGGGTTGTTTAAATACTGGGAAATGGCAGGGTACCCGGTACAGTTGTACAGTTTGTGCACTGGCCAAAAGCGTCCTGCTGATGCTAGAGGACAATGGTGGCTGAAATGCAGCCTGCTCTCTGCAAGCCATACCCCCCATGAGGCTGTGTCTGTCCGGAGGGTACCCTCTTCACATTTATAACGGGGTGTGGGGGGGGGAGACTGTCTGGCAACCCTGGCAGTGAGGCTGAGTCCCTGGGAGGGAGGCTAAGCCTCAGGCAGTCAGTCCTGCAGAGGTTGAAGTCACTAGGTACCAGGGTCTCACTAACCCCTCACATATAGGGACCTGAAACCTCGTGATGCTTCACAGCCTCCCGCCCTTAAACTGAATTTCCCCAGTGCCAAGGTACCCAGCACGAGGCCCTGGTGTCAAAGGAGCTAGTCAGTCCCAGCTCTGTCTCTGTGAGTCTCAGGCACTTCACCTGTATCATGGGGGTCATGGCAGTGGTGTCTCAGAGTTGCTGAATTAAACAAATTAATGCCCATAAACAGTTAGCACAGGTACCTAGGTAAAGCTCAATAAATATTAGCGGCTACTCTTATTTATATGGTTACTATTTAGGGATCTGGGTCCAGACAGTGGCGCTGGGGCTATGCTGAGTTCCTGTGGGAAGCCCCCGGCAGAACACTCCAGACGAAATAGCTGAAACACATTAGTTCTACTAAAATGCCAGCATCTCTCTTCTCTACCTAGTTAGCCACCACCAGAGGCAAAGGGATCGCAGAGAAAACACCCTATTTCACAGCTGTGGAAACAGAATCCCAGACAGGGAAGTGACAATCCAAGCAATAAAGGCAGAGAGGGAATTAGGCCAGGTCTACGTGTTCTCCATGACAGCACCAAATGTCTCTCTGGACCCACCAGGTCCATAGCAATGACCGCCACGGGGGTGCCTGGGTGGCTCAGTCAGTTAAGCATCCAGCTTCAGCTCAGGTCATGATCCGATAGTCTGTTTGAGCCCCACACTGGGGTCTCTGCTGTCAGCACAGAGCCTACTTTGGATCATCTGTCTCCCTTTCTCTCTGCCCCTCCAGGAAGAGAGGAAGGGAAGGAGGGAGGGAGGGAGAAAGGAAAGAGAAAAGAAGAGAAGAGAAGAGAAGAGAAGAGAAGAGAAGAGAAGAGAAGAGAAGAGAAAAGAAAAGAAAAGAAAAGAAAAGAAAAGAAAAGAAAAAGAAAAAGAAAAGACCACTACAGACAAAGGCACCAGAAATGGAGCAGCAGTGGGGGAGGGGAGACCAAGAAATCACCCACTCACAGACAGTCGTTGGCCTGGGGGATATAGTAGAAAGCAGGGACTCTGGCTTCATACTTGGCCTTCACACGGAAGTTCCCGTTGTGGGTCATAAACTGCAAGACAGCAGCAAGTTGGGGTAATATTAGAACATGAAAAAATGTGAAATGAAACTATGGTCTACCCAGAAGGCCACTCTTCCCACTGGCTCCTGGGCCCAGTCAGGAGACACTCCTGCTCGAGTCTGACGTCTGACGTGTCCCCGTGTCCCCCCAGCTTGTCATTCATGCTGCTGGGAAGCCCCAGGCCGGAACAATGAGGTGCTGTAACAACCACGCCTAGTGTTGGCAGAGAACTTCACAGTTCTTACACATTACTTCATTTGATCCCCTCAACAATGTTAATACTGACATCTGCATTTTAGAGGTGAGGCAACTGGAGCTCAGAGAGATTAGATGACTTACTCAGGGTGACACAGCTAGATCGTGGCGAGCTGGGACTTGAACCCAAACCTGCCCAACTCCAAAGCTCATGTTCCTTCTCCCACTCCCCCCCCACCCCCACAGATGGCCAGGACAACCAGCAGCAGTCCCCGCAAGCCTGCAGCGGACAGATGTAGCTGGAGGCTGGAAGAAGTCGGAGCCGGCCCTGCTGAGTTCATACGCCAGAATGATCACTGGGGCCCTATGACACCCGGAGTACCCAGAAGCAGATATGCCAAGAGTGGCCCTGGCCAAGACTCAGTAACAGAGGTGGCATATCTGGGGTGAGGACGCATGTGGGAGGAAACATCAGGTTGTTAATTCACATCCTTTGAGCTGAGTGGACCCTTCTCCCCTCCCTTGGGGCTGCTGGGCTGTGACACAGGATTTGCATGGGCTTTGGATCCCAACAGAGCAGATTTCATATCCCAGCTGTTCCATTATTCACTGAGTGACCCCTGGGCAATACTTCACCCCCTGAGCTTCAGGGATTTCAAATGCCAAAATGAAGAAGGTATGGTGGGGGGAGGGGGTGAAGAAGGGGGTTATAAGGACAAAGAAACAACCTTCAGGTCTATGTGCTGGCTTGCTGGTTTCCTGTCTTTCCCTTGTACTAGAAGAACATACGCTCCACATGGGCGGAGACTTTATCTTATTCACTGCTCTTTCCTAATACCCAGCACCTAGTAAGCTTACAGTAACTATGTGTCCGATGAATAAAGCATCTGACACGGTGCCTGGCCCACGTGGGCTCTCTGTAAACATGAGCCTGCTCCTCCAATAGTCCTTGAAATCCTCAGCCAACCAGCACAGTTTAGAACTGCTTGCTCTCTGAAGGTTTTCTAGCCAAAGTGGTATTATCATCCAGGTTGCATCCATTTGCATAGATCAGGAGAGCGAAATGGTGCCCTTCCTGGCTATGGGGGGGCTGGTGGGGAACTGCAGATGCGGTATACAGATGGGTATACTTCTGTTCCAGTCCAGGACTTCTGCTCATGATAACAGCAGCTGTTACTTGACTACTTTGGACTTGCATTGAGCCTACACTTAATCCTTATAGCAACTGTCGGAAGGGGCTGTGGTATCCTCACAATACAGATGTGGAAACTGAGGGAAATAACAAGCTCAGGGCCTTGAACTCAAGGCCTTTGTCTGAGCAGGAACGCTAACAGGCTGTGTTTTCTCTTGCTAGCTATTGCTCTTCTCTGGAGCTCAGTTTCCTCCTCTGCAAAATGGGGAGCCCTGCCCACCACCTCCACCCCAGCTCTGCGGTTGCAAGGTTGCAAGGCTGTCCACGCGCGCCCCTAGCTACCTCCACGGTACTGTCATCCCAGAAGTCAAGGCGCACGGATTTAACTCTGCTGATGTCTGGGAAGTTGCGGTGGACGCCGGAGCAATTCAGACAGATGAAGATGCCCAGCTTGTAGGAGGCCCAGTCGGGATCTGCGGGGCAAAGAGGGGAGCAGGGGAGTTGGGTGGTGAGCTAGGTGGGCTGGGCTGGGCTGGCAGTGCTGGGAGAGGCAGCGCTTGGCGGTTAGAATTCATGCGGCCGTGCCCAGGGGAACCTTTCTCTCCCGGTTCCCCTACCTTGTTAACTAAGACGCCAGCATGCAACCCTCTGGTCAGCGCACCAGCTAGGGCAAGCCGGCGACCAGAATGATCATGGAAGGAGTGCAGGGATGCGGCGCGAGAGGCTGCGGCGAGCACCAAGTGGAAGTGACAAGACTCCGGGGAACCGAGAGGAGAGCGCGGAGGGAGGGGCCAGCACCGGGAGCTGCAGGTGGGGAAGTCCGTCGCGGGGCCCCTCGACGTCCGCAAGGTCCGCGCGCTACGGAGCAGGAACGTGGGAGGACGCCGGGAGCGTCCGGGGACAGGGAAGAGGTCACTGGAAGGTCAGGAGCCGTGGGCCTGGGACCCCTCGGTGTGAGGGATGTTTGGGTCCGAGAGCGTGGGAGATGGCTAGGTCCGGACGAAGACGTCAGGGACTGAGGTCTGGGTGGGTGGGGTGTCTGGCGGGGGGGGGGGGGACAAGACGGTCAGGGCATTCGGGTCCGGGTCTGGTGCAGGGGTCCAGAGTGGGGAGGAGGTCAGGGGATCTGGGTTCGGGTGCGCGCGGCATCGGCTGTGGAGAGCGCGGCCAGGGGCGCGGGTCGGAGATTCGCGGTCTGGGTGGGAGGGGGCCTGGGTGCGAAGGTGTGGGAAGGGAAGGGGCCTGGGTGTGAAGGGTCACGCCCGAGTCCGGCGGGGGCCCAGGAGGGGGCCAGGTCTGGAAGGAGGGGAGGAGGCCGACGGGCAGGGGTCCCGCTCCGGGCCGCCGCGCCCTTACCCGCCGCCCCGCAGTCGGCGCAGTGAGCGTTGCCGGTCCCCGCCGCCCGCAGCAGCTCCAGCAGCCGCTTCTTGTTGCGCTCGCGGTCGCCCATGGCCGGCCCGGTGGGCTCAGCGGGGCTCAGCCCTGCCGCCCCCCTGCCGGCGGCCGCCCATGGCGCTGCACTCGCGCCGGCAGGTGGAGAGGGACTCGGTCCCGGCGCCTCCCGCGCGTCCGCGCCGCCGCCAGCCCCGCCCCTCCGGCCCTTCGGCCCCGCCCCTCCGGCCCTTCGGCCCCGCCCCCGGCGCGTGCCGGCCACCCCAGCTCCCAGCGCTCAGCGCCCGGCCGGAGCCCGCGCCGCGGGGAGGGACCCGAGTGCCGGACTGGGGGTCCCTCACGCTGGCCCAGGAGCAAAAACCGGCCGGCCGATTGCCAGCTACGGAATGTGGACATCCCAGTCAGTCTCTCTGGCCTCGGTTTCCCCTTCTCTGGACCCCCTTGGAAAATGAGACAGGCTCTAACTTCCGTTAAAGCTTTCTACTGATGTAGCGCTTGCATCGACTTAGAGAGCTCCCCAGGAAGCGCACCCCAGTAGCCAGCCTAGAGCAATCTCTCCAGGTTCTGGTCCTGCCAGCCCCCTGTTCTAGGATCCGTCCATCCCTTTGGCCCTGTGCACTTTCTCTCTAGGCTGCATCACTTATGTATGTATTTATGCTAATCCCTCCCCCACCTCCAACACACACGTGGCCGCGCTGGATAGTTTGAGGTCAGCAGCTTTCTCTATCCCACAGAACTCCTAGAAACAGCACCTGCACATTTTTAGCAGTCCAATAGTTGCATGACTCTGTTCACCAGGAAGCGTGGTGTCACCAACGTGGACTCCACTAGGCACTTTTATCTGTGAGGTTCCATCACTGTGAGGTGTGGGCAGGGTTCAGGTGGTCTTGAATCTGAGGTCTCCCTGCACCATCCCTGGCCCTCCTTGATCCCTTACTCTGTGGTCCCTGGGTGCCTGGGAAGGCACACACTGCTCACACGTGTCCTCCCCTCTGTAGGTAAACACCCATCCGGCATATGCTTATAGTTTAATGCACAGGGTGTTACATTTTCATCCTGATCATTACAGCTCGAGTTCTAGCTGACCCGCCTATATCCCCAATTCAACGGACATGCGGACATACGTGTGGAAATTTAGGGCAACATAGTATAATGGAATGAATCCAAAAATACAGGCTTTGAATCTTGGCTCCACCCCCTTTTTGCCTTGGGCAAATTCCCTCACTTCTCTGAGCCTTGTACTCCTCATCTGTAAAGTGAGGATTTGGGAAGACCCACTTAATAGGGTCACTGAGATGTGCCGGTGGGTGGGTGAGTGTGTGGCACAGAAAGCCCCAGAACACGGTGGCTCCGGTGCTTTCCCTGTCCCCCTCTGCTCAGCTCCTGGGACCATCATGTGGAATGCTGTGTATCATTTCCCATCTTCCACAGGGTGGAAGAGGTCAAGCCTCCACTCCCGGGAGGAGAGAGACATTACCAAAAATAACGAGCCAGGAGGGTCTGGGGTGGAGGGAGGGGGAGGGGGGGTGAGACCTAGCCCAGGGACAGCTCCAGGGGAGCCAGACAGAGCCCAGAGGGGGTCAGAGGGCATAGGGCTGTTTACCAAACGGGCTGAAAGATGATTCATTTCCGCTGCTTAAGATGAAAAAAGACAGAAATAAATCTCCCAAGAGACAGATGGGAAAGGCAACCTAAGATATGAAGGCAAGATGGGGGGGGGAGGTAGAGAGCAAAGACAAGACAGGGCAAGGACATCATTTCTCTGCTGCCCAATGCCAAGGCAAAACCCCACGCCCTCCTAGCTGACGCACCTTTGAATATTCCTTCCCCACAACCCCAGGAAAAATAAAGCATCTCCTTTATGGTGAGGAGCCAGAGACTGAGAGATTCCTTTTGTTTGTCCTCTACCTGTCCTTATTTCTGGAGGTTTCCATTTACAGAATTCCAAGCCTTAAGGTGGAAATTCATGCGTCCTCAGACACTAAATAAACAAATATTAAAGAAAAAAGGTACTATTGTATTTTGTTTTCTTTGGGTTTCTTTGGGGGGGAGGGCAAGGTTAAGGCGATAATGCTAATTAAGAATTATTGATTGTTTTACAGAGAGTTTCACACCATTCGGATCACATTTGAGTTCCATGACTGCCTTGGGGACAGCAGGAGTTAAGTTACCCAAGGTCAAAGAGACGAACAGGCAGAATGGAGGTCAAAATAGAGGTCCCCTGATGTCAGCCCCAGGTTATGCCACCAAATCCCACAGGTCAACCCTGCCCTCCCTTTCGTCTGGATGTTTTTTTTCTCACTTTTCAAAAACTTGTGGTAAAATCTCTGTAACCTAACATTGGCCCTTTCAAACCTTTTTACGTGTACAATTTAGGGGCACTGACTACATTTACGACACCGCCCAACTATCACAACCGTTCCCACAACTATTCCATCACTGCAAACAGAAACGCTACAGCCCGCTCGTGGGTATGGGACGTGATCAGTGTTCCACTTGGGTCTGTGTTTGGGGACCAGAAGCCACTCTTAAGGGAAGAAGATAACGGTGCCAAAGGCTGTCGTGATTGGGATCAGGAGCCAGGCTATGCGGGGCAGGGTGGGCTGAGGCAGCCTTCTTCCTGGGCTCAGTCTGTAGCAGCTGCAGGGGTGAGGGGCAGTTCAGGCCCTGGGACTGAGTGTCCTCTGTAAATAAAGCTCCCAGGGTTCGCCGGAGCACAAATGTTGAGCCCTGCTCTGAAGGTCACTATCTGCTGAACTGAGTCCAGCCACCGCAGGGGTTGGAAGGAAGCTTTCAACCGCATTCCCAGCCCTGGACTTGGCTCAAGATCCCTGGAGAACAGATCACAACCCCTCTGAAAATTTAAATAATTATATTTACTAGAGAACTCTTTCAAACTCTAATTATAGGAAATTTGGAAAACACAGTAAAGAAGGAAAAAAATGCCACCTACGATTACAACCACCATTTATTCAGGGATTGATGTATGTCAGGCATTCTTCCATTTAATCTTAAATACAACGCTGAAGTCTGAACTATTTTTATATCCATTTTACAGACGAGGCAACTGAGGCCCCAGGAAAGAATTTAAGTAAATTTGTCCCAGGTTACACAACTTAGATGATGCGTGCTGGGTGGTTCATAGTACTAGAGCTGGGATTTGAACCCAAGTCGGCCTTGGGCCCCTTTCATCAATATATTTGGTTGATGGTATGAAGTTGACTTACAAAGCTTGGGTTGCCTGGGTGGCTCAGTTGTGTGAGCATCCCACTCTTGATTTGGGCTCAGGTCATGATCTCACGGTTGGTGAGATGGAGTCCCTCAACAACATGGAGCTTGCTTCAGATTCACTCTCTCCCTCTCTCACCTCCCTCTCTGCCTCTCCCCCTTCCTACCTCCCCCCACACACCGCCACACCATGCAGTGCACTCTCTCTCTCTCTCAAAAATAAATAAACTTAAAAAAAAAGTAATGGCATGCAACAGTTTGATCTATTCTTTCAATCGTCCTACCATCAGTCTTTATTAACATTTTCCTAGATCTTCTTCTGGACTTTCATACATTTTTTTACATATCATCGGGATCATATTTTTTCATATAGTTTTTTCTTTTACTTTCTTCACATAATGTCTCTTATCATACTGTTACAGATGTATCATGATATTTTAATAGCCCTGCAATATTCCATGAGATATGTATATTTCCTTGTTGTAAGGCATAGATTGTGACCAATATTTCGCTGTTACACATGATGCTACGATGAGTATCCTTGTGCCCAGAGCTTTTCCCCTGGTCAACGCTAAGATTTTCAAGCACCTGGATCGCCTGTAATTGCTCACCGGTTTCCTGTCTCCCTTACATACCCAGGCTTCAGGGGGACAGGGGCAGGCCAGTGTGTCCTCTGTCGCATCCCACCACCTGCCTACTGCGCGGCAGAGACTCAAAGCATATTTGCAAAATAAACAAAGAAATGAATATAGGTAAAAACTAATAAACAGTAGGTGAGATGACTTGGGGTCACAAAAATGTTTTCCTTTTGAAGGGAAATTATAGGCAGGTGTGTGAAACAGTGGAAAATCAAGCAGCCAATTGTGGGGAAATAAGTGCTACTTACCTAGACGAGTTAGAGAAAAGCTTAGGCTGGAAAGCCGCCATCACAGGGCGAAAGCGCCTGAGGTTAGCTAGTGATACATTGTAATAGAATCACCAGTAACTTGTTATATCAGCTGCAGGAAATTACTTTCCATCTAGCGCCAATTTACTATCACAAACTCCACCTGCCCCCCAGACCCTTTGCTTCTTACACACACCAGTTAACTATCATCTGATTGTTTTCTTCACGTTCACCACGTGGATAATATCTTGTGAGATCAATAAATACAGAGAGGAAAGCCCTGTTCGGGGCTCTTTTCTCCTTCTGGACGTTAGCCTCTCTCATATTCAATTCTGCGTCTGCTCTCTCACTGGACAGGAGAGAACTCCAGACTCATAGTCTGTGACAGCCAATCAGAAGAATCTGATCGAGCTTACCTATTGCTCGGTATATTCAATATTGCTCTGTCTTCAACAGGAAGCAGATCAGAGCCCCGGAGGGGCTCCCCACTGCAGTGCTGCCAGAGTGATTGCTTCTTCACTCATTAAAATTTATGGGGGTACACTATGTGCCAGACACTGTTATGGGAACTAGGAATATAACTATAAACAAAGCAAAGGGCCCTGACTTTCTGCAGCTTACCTTCGAGTAGGGGAGACAGAAAATCAACAGTGAAACAAATATACCTATGTACAATATGGTCCCAGAGTGATAAAGCCTGAAAAGGAACACAGAGTAAGGAGATAGAGAGGGACAGAAGATGCTGTTTTTCTTTTATAAAGTTTATTTACTTATTTTTCAGAGAGAATGCATGCTACCAGAGGAAGGAGAGACAGAGACAGAGATAGAGAAAGAGAGAGAGAGAGAGAGAGAGAGAGAGAGAATCCCAAGCAGCATTAATAGCACTGAGCCCAACAGGGGGCTCAATCTCACAAAGTGTGAGATCATGACCTGAGCCAAAATCAAGAGTCAGATGCCTAAACAACTGAGCCAACTGTGGTTTTGATAGGGAGATAAAGGAGGCCCTCTCAGAGG